CGCGCGGGTCCCTGCCAGGGAGAGGCCCACTCTGCCCGATGACGCCCGGACGGCGCCGGGCGCTCTGTGACAGCCCTGTCCCATAGGCCTCCGAGACCGTGGTTGCCTTCTTCCCCAGCAGACATTGACTGAGGCGGTTTTCTGAACTAGTTAAGAACGAGAGAGCCAGGCTTGGTGGTGTAGGACTAATCCCAGCACGCTGAGGCAGGACGATCGCTGCGAGTTTGAGGCCAGCTTGTACTAGGTGGTAGCAAGATCCTGTGTCCAAAAAAACAAAGAAGAAGAAGAAAAAAAAATACCAGGAGGGGCCTGGGGATTTATCTCAGTGGTTCCGCTGCCTACCTTGCAAGCACAAGACCCCGAGTTCGATCCCCGGTACCAAAAAAAGAAAGAAAAAGACCAGGAGACAGGTTTAAATCTAATTCAGTGTACTTGGCAGTAAACTACCTGTGCCTCAATTTCCTTGGTTGTCAGAGGACACTGACAGTTCCAAGCATTGGACTGTGAAAACTAACAAACCTGTACGGGTGTGGCTTTCTCCTCCATGCAAGCACTTGGTAAGCCTTACCTGTTAGACCAGGTGTGGCGGCGCACGCCTGTCATCCCAGTATTTGGGAGCCTGAGGCAGGAGAATCATCATGAGTTCAAGGCCAGCCTGGGCTGCATAGCCCCTGTCTCAAAACACAGACCAAGCCAGAAACGTTTTTCTTGTGACTAGACGTACTCCACGGACTGGATTGCAAAGATGAAGCAGGAGAAGGATCCTCAGGAGGATAGTTTGGGGGTAGTGTGAGTAAAAACAAGACAGGCTGGTGTGGTGGCTCAGTCCTGTCACCCCCAACACTCCCAGAGGCTGAGGCAGGAGGAGCAGAGCTGTAGCCCAGGATGGGCGATACAGTGACTGTTAAAGCAGCTGGGGCTGGAGCTCAGTGTGAAGGCCCTGTGTCCAACTGCAGTACTACAAAACATGAGCAAATACAAATGGGAGAAGCTCAAAGGGCCAGCACACTGGAAGTGTTGGCTTCAGAAGCTGGAGGCTCTAGGCCCTGGGCCCTTGCGGAACAGGGGATGGGCAGGGGGTGCGGGACCTGAGTGGCCTCATCCTGGCCTGGCACTCAGCGGGTGTCACTGGACTGGACTAGCACTTAGTGGGTGGCCTGGGGGACCGAAGGGAATACAGTAAGTTTTTGTTATTGGTTGAGATGCAGAGGGCGAGGGAGATGGAGACCCAACGAATGTGTTCACAGCCAGGATGCCGTGGGAGTTCAGATCTAAAATGTCTCCTAAGTCCCACGTGTGCAGAGAGGGACTTTCGGAAGGTGCCTGGGCCACAGGGCTCTGACTCCCTCCGTGCGCTCGTGAGGATGAGCACAGACACCTGTCTCCATAGGGCTCATGGGACTGTGCCCGGTCCAGGTCTGGTCCTGGCCCCTTCCTCTCTAGCTCTTGATCTCTTTGTTTCCTGGCTGCCAGGAGGTGATCGGCTTCCCTCCGCCATGCCCTTCCGCCGTGACCTTCCTGCCTGCCTTGGAGCCCGCCAACCTCAGACTGAGGTCTCTAAACTATCGGAGCCCCCGTCAGTCTCTCCTTGAAGTTGTTTGCATCAAACGTTGTCACAGGGCAGGAAGCTGGCCAGCGTGGAGCTCTGTGGAGGAAGAAAAAGGTGGGTGCAAGAAGGTGAATGGCCCAGGGTGGGACAGTGAGGCTGCTGGGGCGGCCGGTGGGGAGCAGAGGAACCAGGGAGTGAGGACTCAGTCGGTATGGCCTCTTCGCTGCCTTCTTTCAGGGACTCCCGGCAGTGCTGCCGATGTGCCAGGTGTGCCCACAACATCCCTGCAGGGGTGCGAGGGATTAAAGGACACAGTCCCCACAGCATCGTGCTGAGGAAGCCTGCCGGGCCCCCGTTTTCCCGAATCCTCGCCATAGCCCCCCCGTGAGGCTATGCGCACCCCGGTGTCTTAGTGACCAGCTTGCGCCACGAGCCCTGTCTTGGGCCACCCCAGGCAGCCACTGCTCTCTGGGTGTGTGGCAGTCTCCAGTTAGCACAGTTGACAAATCCAAAGGACCGAGCCAGTGCTGGCACAGGTGAGGCCCTGAGGTTACAGTAACAAGCAAGAGAGACACAGAAATGGCCTTTGTGTCGCCACAGTGCAATAAAGCCTGGCATGGAGGAGATGGCATCCAGGCTCCTGAGAAAACCGATGCCCCGCAGATCTTTGGTTGGGAAGAGCCCTTCTGAGCAGAGCCCTGTGCTGACAGGCAGGGAACAGAAGACCGCTCTGGGCAGAGACAGCACGGGGTGTGGGCCATGGAGTCCTGGCATGGCTGGAGCTGGGCAGAGGGGCAGCAGGCCAGGCTCTTGGCGGTCCCGAATCACTCATGTGGCCCTCAGCCTGGGGCGTCAGCTGTGCCACACCAGGTGAAGCATCTCCTCGAGAGGTAGAAAATAGCAACTAAACAAAGCCACAGGGAAGGGGAGGAGGTGGACAGGGTCTGGTTGGGAGGGAAGGAGCTGGGCTCTGGGTAGAGAGTGTGGCAGAGGACCCTGCGGTGCTGGGAAGAGGAAGAGAGGGAGGCCAGGCCTTGTGAGGCCACGGGAGGACACAAGGTGTTTCAGTTAAGAAGTACGTAGCTTTTCTGTTTCCATTTCTTATGGACTGAGACAGGGTCTTACTTTATTGCTTTGAAACTTCTGGGTACAAAGATCAGTGCTTCTGCCTCAGTCTTTCGAATAGCTAGGGCTACAAGTGCCTGCTACATCCAGGTTGATGTGTTTTTAAGACTTCAGGCGGTGGGGGGGTGTACCTGCGTAATCCCCACACTCAGGAGGTTGAGGCGAAAGGATTTCCCTGAGTTTGAGGGATGAGATCAAGCAGGAGGACAATTCTAGGAGGTCTTCACAGAGGTTGAGTGGTTGGAGGTGAGAGGAGGAGGACACAGTGGAGGCTGATCCCTGGGGCGTGGGTTGGCGACCTCATGGCTAGTGGGATCCGGGGTGCCTGGAGATGCCCCGAGGGTGAGGGTGCGTGGGGTCCAAGCTCCAGGAACAGCGTGGAGTTGGGCTACTGTTTGCTTTGAAGCTGGAGAACCACATACTACATCTCACTGGCCCAGGCTGGCCCCAAACTCAGTGGGTGATCCTCCTGCCTCAGCCTCCTGAGTGCAGTTGCTTACAGGTGTGTGCTATGACAACCAACTCCATTTTTAGTTTCCGTGGCCCACAGTTCTGGTTCTGGAGGCTGGGAAGTCCCAGGGCACAGCCTTGACTGGCTGAGCTCCGGGCCAGGGAGGGCACTGCTGAGCATCCACCCAGGGCCCATTGGCCTGGTGCTACACTGAGCCTGTTGTAACCTGGCTCCGGCTCCGGCTCTAGGCTTGCGCGTCCAGCATTGTCCCCGTGGCATTAATGTTTCAGTATGTGGTTTGGAGGGGCAGTCCCACAGCACACGCTGTCTCTGTGGATGCTTCCTCTCGGGATGGGATGGTAGCATGTGGTTGACAAGTGGAGGTTCTGGGGACAGATAGTGAATACCCAGGATGGAAAGGGAAGTCAGGTGGCAGTGATGCACGCTTGTGATCCCAGCACTGAGGGAAGCTGAGGCAGGAGGTTTGCAGCAAGTTCAAGGCCAGCCTGGACTAATGAGACCCTGTCTCAGAAAACCAAGGGTGGCCAGGGATTTAGCTCAGTGGAACCCCCGCCTGCCTCACAAGCTCAAGGTCCCAAGTTGGATCCCCCATACCAAAAAAAGAAAAAAAGAAAGAAAACTAACAGGGAGTGGGTGTTGGGAATGTAGGTCAATGTAAAGACCACCCCTATAAAAGGAGGGTGCTAACATCAGCTGGGTGGCCCATAGGTAGACGGTGTCCGCTGAGAAGCCGAGGACTGTGTTGGTGACAGTAGAAAGGGGTGGTGAGTGGAGACTGGAGAAATGTGACCAGGAGCAGCAGTGGCTGTGGTGGTGGGCACTGGGGTCACAGGTTGGCCACATCCTCCGTGCTACTGAGCTACATCCCCGGCATGGCCTTGAATTTTCGATCCTCCTGCCTCAGTTTCCTGATACAGGTATGCACCACCGTGCCAGGCACGAGTCTTTCTGTATCAAACCTGGTTGCTCGCCACCCACTTTCATTTAGCCAGTGACCAGACAGCAGTCAAATCTTTTTTTCACTTTATTGTACAAAAAAAGGGGAAAACAAAATGTCCACAGTCAGCCATCAGCTTAGGCAGACACCAGGCGACTCCCTCCCGCCTCCCATGGTACAAATTCAACGTGGCTGTTGTTGAAACCTACAAAACACGCCTTAAATATTAGAAAAAGGGGCAGGGGCCCTCCCAGCCCAGCCATCCCAACCCAGTGCCAAAATGCACTCAGCACAAGCTCACAGCACCAATGCCCCCATCCCCACGGCCCTGTCTGTACTATAAGAATTTCTAAGTTTTTAAAACAGGAAAAAAAAAAAATCCTGTTCAAAGTTGCTTTAAATGAAAACATATTCCACTAAAACATAATAGTGCAGGGCATTCAAATATGGACTGGGGTTCTTCACAGGGCCCCTGGGAACTGAAACCATAAAAGCTGCGCCTGATTCCAAGACCCCAACAGAGGGAGCAGGCGTGGAGGTCCCGTCCTGCCCCCCCCACTGTCTGGGGCCCATGTGCCTGCCCACCACTTGACCCCCACCTGCCATTCCAGGCTTGCATTCAGAAGGGGACCCTGGGAAAGCAAAGTCCCTGTTCAACAGAGGTTGGGCATGATTGAAAAAAGAAAAATCCAGAGGAGCTGGTTTGGCTTATGAAGAGTCGAAGAATTAGGGTACCAAGGACATGGGGCAGCCAGCAAGGGTTGGGGGCCAACTGCAGGAGCCCCTGCTGTGGGGTTGGGGTAGGGAGAGGGGACACAGACCTGAGAAATCAAAGGAAACAGGGCGGCTGGGGAAACGTGGGCTAGGCGGGAGGGACATGTGTGGCAGTGACTGGATGTCCTGCAGTCCTGCTGCCCCTGGAGGCGCAGGGAGTGGCTTCCAGGTTCACACCATGCTCAGCCTTCCCACCTTGCTACTGGCTGGCAGGGACTTGCAGGAGCTGACACGCACGACCCTGGCAGAGGGAAGCGGCTACAGGATGCACTGGCATGGCCTTGGAGCCAGAGGTCGGCAGGGGCAGCCGTAGGGGGGGCAGCCACAGCCAGCCAGTCCCCCAGGGCCCGTATCCCGGCTGTCACCAACCCTTGTGCCCATGGCACAACCGGGCTCCAGACAGGCCCGTGTGCATGCGCAGCCACAGGTGCACCCACGCTATGTACAGGACACACGCACACACGCACTCTCCCACGCACACCAGGACCGTTTAAAAAAAGTCCCCGACTACCCACTAAGCCCTCCCTCTCCCAGAAATGACAACAGAGACGGCAGCCGGAATCGGTAGGAAACGTCTCGTTGACAGCTCAGAGCTTAAAAAAAAAATATATACACATATATAAAAAACACTTCTGCCCTCCCGTGGGGCAGGGCGAGCGTCCCGCCCCACTCCCCGTCCCCCCACTCCAGTTCCAGCGCAGGGTCGGGCGGGCGGGAAGCTCCTCCCGGCCCCCGCCTCCCGGAGGCTGCAGGTTCGGGGCTCTGATCTCGGACCCCGGCCCACCCGGTCCACTGTCCTGGCCCAAACCGCAAGTGTGGGTGGGCGGTGGCCGGCGTCCCGTCTGGCTCAGTCTGATGGCTGCTGTCCCTGGGGCCCGGCAGTGGTTCAGGGCCGCAGAGTCCTGGCCCGACCCCTAGCCCTACCCCCACCATGTTTTGTTTAAAAAAGAAAAAGAAAGAAAGAAAGTGGGGGAGGCCGGGGCGGGGGACGGACGCGGGCGAGACACAGG